GGGAAACAAGGCTGATGAAGCTCCATCTCTTATGTTCGTCCATAATCACTATGACAGTGGTGATCATACAAGTGTTTATTAGAGGAGATAGCAGAGCAAGAGCATTGTAGCTGCTGATATCCAAATGAGTCAGCACTGTAAAATTCTTAAAGTTGAAGGCCACACCTTGAGTTGCAAAACCCAAACCTCTAGGTTCCATTGACTTAGTTTTGTTCCATGAACAAAAGAAGGTAAAGTTAAATAAGAAAACCCACCAAGAAGCCATGTATACAGGAAGCACACTATCATTGTAGCAGTGTAGGAAGAGAAAACTTTGAGTTGTAGAAGTTTTAAAGAGCAGAAAATTCCAATTGTATTTGTAGAGGGCAGGGAGAAAAAGTAATGTTTCCAAGTTCTTTTTATGAAATAGGCCTAAAAGTTATCCTCTAAATCAGTTAGGATTGCCAAAAAGAAAACTATCAACCATATATCAAAGGTTCACCATCAGGCACTGATAATTCAATATTAGGATATGTGGAAAGAGACCTTTTGCATTCAGACACAAGCAGTCAGAAGACACACAAAAGTAAAAATTCCTTATTTTCAATAACAACACAAAAGATAAAATGTCTGAGAGAAAATATATGAGGTCATTATTTAAAAAAACTTTAAAATGATACAAACTAAAATATGAACAAAAGACAAAGCATCCCATGTCCTCAGATAGGATGACTCAACATCATAAAGATGTCAATTCTCCCTAAATAAAATCACAATATTCACCCAGGTCTAATAAAAATGTCAGCATCATTTTGTCAAAATAATCAAGCTGAGTCAAAAGTTCATGTGGAAAAATAAACAAGTAAAAATAGCCAAGAAAGGTCTGCAACAGAAGAGTAATAGGGGGAAGGCAGTGTTCAAGTATTAACACATTATAGAACTTCAGTAATTAAAATAGTGTAATAACGTCACATGAATAAACAGACAATTCATGGAACAGAATATGAAACCCAGTAATAGACATACATCTATATATGGCATTTTAGAAAAAGTGGCATTGCAAATATGTGGGGAAATGGTGGATTATTTAATAAATAGTATTGAGAGAACTGAAAATGAGTCAGAAAGAAGAAAAGGAAAAGAAGATCTGGCTCATTTCATGACACCTAGTAACAAGGTAAATTGCTAATGTATTAAACTTTGAAGTATGGGGACAAAAAGATCCAAATACCAGAGAAAACCATAGGAATTAGAAGACCTTAAGCTATAAAAGAAAAGATTGACAAATACAATTACAGATTTTTAAAGTGTGCATGGTAAAAAGTACAATCAAAATCAACAAGCAAATATCAAATTTGGAGGGAAAAAAACATGAACTTACATCACAGGCATAAGTTTAATCTTACAAATGTATAAAGAGATTTTAGAAGTCAATGGAAAAAGACAATCTAACAAAAAATAGGCAAAAATATTGAAAGTTCACAGAAAAGGAAATATGAATTGCTCTTAGACATACATTAAGAAGCTCACTCATAATAAGAAAAAAAATAAACAATTTTCACCTTCCTTAAGGTTGGCCGAGATTCAATAATTGATTCTATGTAGAAATAAGGTGAGAAAACAGGTCTCATAATTGTTGGTGAGAGTATAAATTGGTATGACTTCTGTGAAAAGCAATTGGTAATGTACATCAAGGTAAAAATACCCTACCCTTTTAGAAATATATTCTAAGATATAATCATATGCTTATTATATGATGTTATGCCCAGGCTATTTACTGTGGCACTATTTGTAATAGTAAAAGAGTGGAAGCCGCCTAAATGTCCATTAATATCTATCAATACGAGGCTAGTTAATATGACTCATATGGAATGATCTCCAAAATTACTGGAGGGAGGAATACACATATATACACAGAAATCTCTAAAAATACACATAAGACACTCATAAGACTAACTGTGTTAGGGAAGGGGAGGGAGAGAAGAGTGTGAGGGACAATTTTTAGTATATACCTATTTATGCCTTTTGTATTTTTAACATTTAAAAATTAATTGGAGAGGTCATAAGGCCTTGTGAGTCATAACTGCCAAAATGAACTATAGAGATAATAAATAGTCAAATAAATAAATACAACAGAGATAATGACGTAAAGTTAGCTTTCGACCTTGTCCTCCTTTTTACTTCAGCATAATACACACTTCTTCCTCCAATTATAGTTTTGCTTGTTTTCACTGGTCTCAAACCCTATGATTTTATTTATCTCAAGAGATATCATAAATTTTCTAATAATTTTCCAAACAACACACCTCAATTTCAATATATACTATGTGTAGTTCTAAAATATGGGTTCCATAGAAACCACTGTTGAGTTTTGGAGGGTTATCACAATAACAACAACAAAAAAATTAAAATCATTCATTGGAAACAATCATAAGAGAACAAGCACATCTTTTGGAATTACTTAAAAAAACAGTGGTCAAAATAAAATCTTGCCTGTTACTTGGGGAATATATTATGGGCTATTTTAATAATATTTGTTTGGAAGAACTTATATGGATATATTCATAACTCATGGACACAGACAATAGGATAGTGAAGGCCTAGGGTGGGGGAGGGGGTGGGCTAGAAGGAGTCAATGGGGGAAAAGGGGGACAAATGTAATACTTTCAACAATAAAGATTTTAAAATTAAAATAATATTTGTTTGGAGAATTAATTATGTCCTTTCCAGGCATTCTTAATTGTGATAAGCACACTAAAAAAAGATAGTCTTTTACATGAAATATAAATTAGTAAAGTCACATGTCAAATAACTTTGGCATCCATGGAAATGCACAATTCCAGGTAGTGGGATATAATAAAATGTTGGAATTTCAATTTCTATTATTTTATCTTAGTCTATATAATATGTAATTTATAATAAATAGGCATACAGAAATGCTATTGTGTGCTCCATCTTTTTTATTCATAGAGGTATATAATCAAAATGTTTGGTAACACTGCAAAATGATGATATGATTTCACATAAATAAGGAGAAATCACATCCACTGTAGAATATTTTAACAGGCATAGCAAGAAGCAGCCATAAATTATGAATCGCTAAGTGAAACACTATTGAATTTATTTGGTATGACACTTAGCACAATACTATCTGAAGTGAGATTCTTTTTTTAAAATATGTTTTATTAATTTTTTACAGAGAGGAAGGGAGAGGGATAGAGAGTTAGAAACATCAATGAGAGAGAAACATCGATCAGCTGCCTCCTGCACACTCCCTACTGGGTACGTGCCCGCAACCAAGTTACATGCCCTTGACCAGAATCGAACCTGTGACCCTTAAGTCCGTAGGCCGATGCTCTATCCATTGAGCCAAACCAGTCAGGGCTGAAGTGAGATTCTTTATAAATAATAGGATTTCCAAGTTAGGAAAGAATGTTAGGTATATCATTTATTCCAAATCTCCTTATTTCAAACATCAGGTAACTACAGCCAGAGAAAATAAAGTATGTTCTTTATGTCATATGGCTGGCTCATAGTGACAGAGCCAGGTATAGAACCCAAATTTACCAAACCTTTGTCTTTCTACTATACAACATATCGTTACATTGTATGTGTAACGAAATGGGAAGGGTCTTTAAAATTAAGCATCAGGCCAACCCAGAATTCTCACTAAGTTATTTTCTTCTAATACTTTATTCTTTCCTATTATCCCTATCTTTACTTTTGTCTTTTTTTTAGCCTTCTTAAAACCACATATTTTAGAAAGTGGAATAGTGAATTTATTTTTATCATGTTAATTTTTTAAGCCATTTTAAAGGAGAAAGGTTCAAACTTTAAATTAATCCTATTTTCATCTATCTCCTCTAACAGAAACAACCTCTGAACTCTAAATGCCTTTCTTTCTTACCAGCCCTCTCTGAAAAACCCAGTCCAAGAAATATATACCTGATTCTACCAAAATGAAATGAAAGGTGAATAAGATGGGAGTGGATGACATAGAAGTTGAATTGCAAAGAAGCAATCAGAATCAAAAGTCCATGCTTATGGGATGACAACAAGGTAAGCCTGTGAGAACAGTTCCTTTATTAACTTCTCAAAAAGGTTAGCCCGATTTTGAATTGAATTTTCTCCAGTGATCTCAAACCAGAAACTGAAAAAACGGAGATCATGACGTTAAGAAAAAAGGCTAAAGAGAAATTTAAAGTACTTATCCAGGTAATTCAAACCCATTTTTTAAAAAATATATTTTATCGATTTTTTACAGAGAGGAAGGGAGAAGGATAGAGAGTTAGAAACATCAATGAGAGAGAAACATTGATCAGCTGCCTCCTGCACACCCCCTATTAGGGATGTGCCCGCAACCAAGGTACATGCCCTTGACCTGAATCAAACCTGGGACCCTTAAGTCCGCAGGCCGATGCTCTATCCACTGAGCCAAACCGGTTAGGGCAAACCCATTTTTAATACCTTGATTATATTTGTGTAGCCCCTTCACAATATGTACAGGTAGCATTTAAGAAACTGTACTGTTTTCATGGACATTGGTTTGGAAAATGATTAACCAGTTTTGGTTTCACTTAACCCGTTTTGTCACATATTGGGAAACTGATGCCACTTTGCGTTGCAAAGATTAAATGTCATAATATAGACAACCGCTTAGCAAAGTGTCTAGCATATAGGTAAGCACATATAAAACTCAATTGTCACAGGACTCCACACAGGTGAAGTGCCCAAGTCTCACTCCCCTTTCGTGCTAGGCAGCAAAATGAGGAACCCAGACTTCTCTAAGGAGACTGAGAATTGAGACATTTCGGAAGTGCGCTGTATTAGTATTCTTAAAAGGGTTTTTTGGGCGTGGGGAGTGGGGAGGACGGCTTCTGGCACGTCCCAAGAGCTGACCATCAGCCCCGCCTCCCTCCATCCTGCTCCAGCCCACGCAAGCGGAACTACATTTCCCAGCGGCCTCAGGGTGCAGCCGAAGCCTGGCGCCTTGCTTTCCGGCACATTTTACTTCAGTTTATTTCCCGAAGGCTCCTAGCACTGAGGTGGAGTTCCTGAACATGGGTACTTTCCTGTCCCAGCCTTTCGAGACTGATAAGATCGCCTCGGCTCCTCAGGCCGCCTCTTCCGCTAGCCGCGCGCCCCTCGATGCACCCGGAGCCCCGACCTCCCCAGAGCAGCCGCCCGCACTTAGGAACTGCTGGAGCTGTCGGGTGCTCTCCGGGTCGGGGTTGATAGGGGCGGGCTGGTACGTGTACTGGGTTGCACGGAAGCCACTGAAGCTGGGATACCCACCAAGTCCAGGGACTGTTACCCAGATGGTCATCGGCATCAGTGAGAGTCGGGGCAGGGCCCTGGGGGAAGGGGGGTGGGGGGCAGGGAGGGAGGAAAGGGCGCAGCCATGCGGGTGGGGGCGGGGCGGGCCAGGCGCTCCGGCTGGAAATCGCGGGAGCCATTCCAAACAAGATGCAGGGATGGTGAGAGGAAGTTGTTGGGACTCTGCTTTTTTAAAAAATCAGTATTTCTTGAGAATTCTTATGAACCTCAGTCTTCTTAGTCCTATCAATAGCTATTAGAGATAGTTTGTTCACTAAGACACACAGAAGAAAGAATCCTGTTCAAAGTCAGACACCCATGATGTGCTGCAGCTAGCCTTTAATCCTAGGCTTATCTGGCACCAAAGCCCATGTCTTTTTTGTTTTTGTTTTTGTTTTTCCCTCCAGGTCCTGGAGAAAGCCTGAGAAAAGGCACTTAACTTAGAACTTGGGCTTGGAAGTCAGATTGTAGACATGGGTTCAACGCCCACATACTAGGTATGCCACCGGTTCCTGTGGCCCACAGTCCTTACCTGTATCTGTACTAAGTGATGCTCAAGATATCCAGTAAAATGTAGTGAGTCTCTTAGCTCTGCAAACCAATTATATGAATAGACTTTTAGGCTTTAGTATCTCTTTGTAACTAGATTGTCCACATCAGTTCTCTTTAAGTTCATATCTAGCTTGTGGAGACAAAAGGATTTTTTTCCCTTCACTTTTTTCCCCCTTTTCTGAACCTCACTCTTCTATATCTTCTAGGAGTGTTGTGTTAAATAAGATGGCATATATGAAAGCATCTGGTAAACTAAAATGCAACATCCACATAAGGTGCTGTTGTTTTCTTTCCTAGGCATTGCTTGTTGGGGTGTAATCATCCTGTCAGACCCCAAGGGGAAGTTCCACCCGTGAATCTGTCATCTGTCCCTGTCTCCATGACACACAGAGCAAGCATTGAGCTGATGGATGTTCTGGATAGACACATGGACATTGGCATACTTCAGTTCTGCAGATACTACAAGACTGAAAAGACCAACATTAGTTGGCAATCTTTGGCCATGAGTGTTTGTGGCCTTCTAGGGCTCCACAAGGACCAATAAATACCTCAGAGAACAGAACCGGTTCTTTGTCTTACCTGGGGAAGGAGAGTATCATAAAAAATAAAATAAAAAAGCCCTGGCCGGGTAACTCAGTCCATTAAAGCTTCGTCCCAATAGGTCAAGGTTACGGGTTCAATCCTCGGTCAGGGTATATACAAGAATCAACCAATGAATGCATAATCAAGTGGAACAACAAACTGATATTTCTTTCTCCCTTCCTCTCTCTGAAACCAATAAATTAAGAGGAAATGATAAGCCAAATGGGAAAATGAACTAAAATAAGTTCTTTTTACTTCAACCATAATGGGTCAATACCTATTTATTAACCCAACCTTGGATAGGCATGCACTATGCAGAATTATATAAAATTGTATCTGTATACTTCTCATATTTATCAAACATTATCAAATCTGTCACCTTATAAGAGTTTCACAGCTACTCTGAGATGGTTATTTCATTGGTGGTAAGTGAACTTTAAAAAAGTTAGAATTTGTAGTTAAAAATTGTTTTTCTGCCGAAACCGGTTTGGCTCAGTGGATAGAGCGTCGGCCTGCGGACTGAAGGGTCGCGGGTCCGATTCCGGTCAAGGGCATGTACCTTGGTTGCGGGCATATCCCCAGTAGGAGATGTGCAGGAGGCAGCTGGTCGATGTTTCTCTCTCATCGATGTTTCTAACTCTCTATCTCTCTCCCTTCCTCTCTGTGAAAAATCAATAAAATATATTTAAAAAAAAATTGTTTTTCTTTTGAAGTGTATTGCAAAATTTGCTTTCTGCCAGTGCCAAGTCAACGATCGTATTTGTTTTAGGGATGACTTGTCTTTAGAGAAAAAAGATATTGCCTTAGTCCTGCAATGCAGAAAGTGCACTTACTGCCCCTATTATCTTCCACTTTGCTGGGGATGAAGTGGGGTGAGCAGGATAAACGGGCTCAAGAATCAATGGATTATTCACTTAGTAATATAAGAAAACCAGCTTAATTATGATTTATGGGCTTTAGAAATCTTTAAACAGCATGGAAATGAGAGTTTATAAAGACTTGTAATTACCTTTAGTAAAGAAGAGAAAAGAAAAAGTACAAAAATGGGTAATTTAAAATGTACTTAGTTTTCCTTGTAACACAGACCAAAATGTGCACATACATGTGAACACTGACATTTTTCATGATGTCCAAGATGCCTGTTAGCTCAATCTTTACATAGTATAAATGTAGGAATCTCAAGATGATCAAGAAAATCATTATGTGATCTCTTGTTTCTTTTGTGTATTTCACTGACTAGTCTGGAGTCCTGTGATCAACTAGCAATATGTCTGAACATATTAAAGGAACCAGGTATAGACTGACCATTAGATCTTGCAGTGTGTTGGGGGAGAAGTGAGGGATCTCACTTTCCCTAGAGACCAACTGCTGAGATAGATAGCTGTGTTGTCAGCACTGGAGTGTTCCAAATACAGATCAATTTAAAAAGTTCTGGAATTTCACCTGGCTGAGACCAATTGCAAAGACAGCTGTTTCTGGTGGCCTAGAGGTTAAGCATTTCAGTCATAATTTATACGTCAATTCTGCCCTCACTGCTTTTTTTTTTTTAATATATTTTTTTATTGATTTCAGAGAGGAAGGGAGGAGAGAGAGATAGAAACATCAATGATGAGAGAGAATCACTGATCAGCTGCCTCCTGCATGTAACCTCACTGGTGATCGAGCCTGCAACCCAGGCATGTGCCCTTGATCGGAATCGAACCCAAGACCCTTCAGTCCGCAGGCAGATACTCTATCCACTGAGTCAATCCAGCTAGGGCCTCACTGCTTTTTATTACTAGTTTCTCAGCCTGATTGTCTGAATTAGGGGCCTCTTGAATGAAGCCAGTTGCTTTGACAACATAAAACATATTGCTCCTAAATTAAATATATGTTCAGGGTAAGCATATGTTTAAGCACCCCCGCAAACCAGCCTTGTCCTCAACTGATTTACTGCTAGGACTACATTGATCAACCAGACACTTCACAAATTTTTAAGTCAGGAACAGTAAGCAATTTTGAGTTGAAAAAGAAAATTTTAATGACAGATAAATCCTTGCCTTCACCCAATGATTATAAAAGTGTTAGGGGCACAGAGTCAAAGGTGAAAGACCTATAATGTCACATCACTCAGAGGAATCCTAAGAGCACCCAAGAAAATATGTCAGGCTTCCAAATGCATGTCTCTGCCTTAGAAATATTCAGCAACTTGTTATTCAAATGTTAATAGAGTGTAGAGAAATAGCCCAAAGGGCAAATGTTAAATGCAGTAATGCCACTAACATGTGACTGAACTTGCATGTGCTTCAGGAATGTGGTAGACAGGATTCTTAAAATGGCCCCAAGGTTCCCAGACCCCTACTGTACACACACTTTCAGTTATTCAATCAAACACCATTTTAGGTGCCGCTGTGAAGGAATTTGCAGATGTAATTAATGTCCCGGGTCAGTTGATCTTAAAATAGGGAGATTATCCAGATTGGCTAATCACCTGAGCCTATTAAATCTTGGCTTAGAGGTCAGAGACCTACTTGAGAAGTCAGAGATTAGAAGTAGGAGGGGAAATGAATGCCTGAGAAGTCCTTCCCAGGCCTAGGTGAAAGCCAACATCTATGTTGTGAACTGCCTACTGGGGCCACTGATTAGGAACTGTAGGCAGCCTGGAGTTGCTGAGTCATCACCAGCCAATTGCTAAAAGGGAAAACGACAACTTCAGTTCTACAACTGCAAGGACATGAACTCTGCCAACAATCCGTGAGCTTGGAAGAGGGCCCTATGAGAACCAAGAACTACAGGCCCAGCCAAGAACTACTTGGTTTTAGCCCAGTGAGACCTTAAGTAGAGTATTTCGCCATGCTGTGAAACTGTGAGATAATGCATTTGTGTTAAGTTGCCAAGTTGGTAGTAATTTGTTACACAGCAATAGAAAAATAATACAAGAAATATTTTGCAGAATCATAGTAATAATAGGTGGCATGCCAGACCAAATACACACGCCCATTGTGGGTATCCTGGGACTAGCAGTAAGGGTCCATCTGAATAGCATTTGTCTTTACAGCTATTGTCTTTACTTATTCTTTCAATGGTGGTTTTCTTTGGTAGTTTTTATTGTCTGTTTTCTAGCAGAATTGTTCCCTGCATTATGCTGAGTGCTTTGCAGGATTGTTTAATCCTCTCAGCAACTCTGCTTTACAGATGAGATAACAGGCCTGGAGCAGGTAAACATTTCCCAAGGCCTCAAGTGATAAACCAGTAGTGGCTTGGAGAAAAGTATTAATTGGGAACTGGGAATTTGTTTTCTATAATCACTTTTTTTAGCATCCCTTCTCAAAGAGTTCAGGTATCAAAATTAGAAATCTTGAATTATTTACCATTTTTCCTCGGTTACCCCTTAATTTAACAGGTATCATTAATCTCTTGGTTTCCTTTTTCTTTTTTAATAATTGAGGTTATATCATTTATCACTCTGACAGCAAATTACACATTAATCCAGAACAAGAACTTCTCCCTGAGCAGGCTCATACCCTTCCATGACTTTCCCCTAATTGTTCTCCTGAAACTCAGACCCCATTTCCTAGCCACAGCAGGGGCCCCCACTTGTCTGTCTTCACAAAGCAGAGTCCCAACTTGTCCCAGATGAACTTATCTTTTGTCAACCTACCTCGCCTCTATTTCCTATCTCTTCATAGCATTTTTATCTTATCAGTTAGCCAAGCTAGGAACTATGATATTATCTATGACTTTCTTTACTCTCATTCTTTACTTGTGATCTGTTAACAAGTCCTTGCTATTTTAACTCTTTAGATAACCAATAAAGTGTTAATATCCAAAATATGTAACAAACTCATACAACTTAACATAAAAAAAATAAACATTCCAATTTAAAAAATGGGCAGAGAACCTGAATAGACACTTCTCCAAAGAGAGCATTAAAGATGGTGTGACCAGTGGACATGAAAAGATGCTCAATATCACTAATCAGCAGAGAAATGCAAATTAAAACTACAAGAAGATATCATCTTACTCCTGCCAGAATGGCTATCAACAATAAATCAACAAACAACAAGAGTTAGGATGTAAAGAAAAGAGAACCCTCATGCACTTTTTGTGGAAATGCAGACTGGAGCAGCAACTATGGAAAACAGTATGAGGTTTTTAAAAATAAAATAAAAACAGAACTATCTTATGACCCACCAATTCCACTTCTAAGTATTTATCTGAACAAATCCAAAACAGTAATTTAAAAAGATATATGCATCCCTATGTTTATTGCAGCATTATTTACAATAGCCAAGATATGGAAGCAACCTAGGTGCCCATCAATAGCTGATTGGTTAAAGAAGATATGGTACATATATACAATAGAATATGATTCTGTCATATAAAAAAAAGTCTTACCATTTGCAACAACATGGATGGACCTAGAGGGTATTATGCTAAGTGAAATAAGTCAAACAAAGACAAATATCACATAATTTCACTTATATGTAGGATCTAAAGAACAAAATTAACAAAACAGAAACAGACTCATAGATACAGAAAACAAACCGATGGCTGCCAGATGGAAAGGGGTGTTGGGGAGATGGGTGAAAAAGTGAGGGGATTAAGAAGTACAAATTGATAGTTACAAAAATAGTCATGGGGATGTAAAGTACAGCATAGGAAATATGATCAATAAAATGGTAATAACTATGTATGATACCAGGTATGTCCTAGACCAGTGATGGCGAACCTTTTGAGCTCGGCGTGTCAGCATTTTGAAAAACCCTAACTTAACTCTGGTGCCGTGTCACATATAGAAATTTTTTGATATTTGCAACCATAGTAAAACAAAGATGTATACTTTTGATATTTATTTTATATATTTAAATGCCATTTAACAAAGAAAAATCAACCAAAAAATGAGTTCGCGTGTCACCTCTAACACGCGTGTCATAGGTTCGCCATCACTGTCCTAGACTGACTGGGCACAATCACTTTGTAAGTTATATAAAT